GGCACAGAGAGCGCGCCCGCCGGCAAATGTCCGGGTGCAGGGCCAGGATGCCACCGTTGCCCAGAGCCCTCGCAGCCCACCCCCGTCCTCCGCAAGCCCAAAGGCAGCAACGCGGCTGAAACATCCATCTGAGCCCGAGACGCTTTTCCCCGGGGAGCCCAGGGCCCAGCTGGCCCCCGGGAGCCGAGCGGTGTTGCATGCGGAGAACAAGAGCCACTTACCTCATTTGTGCTTCCCTGGGGAGAGGCATTGGGAAAGGGGAGACAGAAAAAGAAAAACAAAAAGCATCTCTGTGTATCAGGCATGCCCAGGGGAGCGCACGGTGCTCACAGCCACTTGCTGCTGTCACCACGGCCGTGTGTGTCCCCAGGGGGGCTCACCCCGCACAGGCTGCCCCTCTTGCAGGACCCCTCACAGCTCCGTCCACCCCTCCTGCAGCCGGTGCTGCCGCCACGGGACACCGAGTGCTTGCATGGGACAGAGCCACGAGGGCTTTGAACCCACCTGGGCCACGACAGACCCCGTCTGTCGCAGCGGGCAGAGTCACGCTCCCAAGCCCCGGTGCCTGCAGCAGGGGCAGCGCCGCCCGGCCGCACAGCTCCTTCTGGGGAGAACTTTGCCTTCAGTTAAAAATCAGGGGCCAGCTGGGCGCCAGGGAGCAGCTACAGGCACTTCAACCTCTTCATTTTTCCCCAGCTGGGCAGGTTGCAAGTGGGCAGCGTCTCTGGCTGCCTGCCGGCTGCAGCCTGTTCTTGCTTAACCACCCCCCCTCTGGTTCCTGCACAGGGCTGGGCTAAGCTGGGCTTAAACAGGCCAGCATCTCCCAAAGGCACCTTGGGAAGGGTCCCCGAGCAAACGACTGCTGAGGACAGGGCAGCCAGGATGAACCCCCCCGGGGATGCAGCCAACTCTTGCTCTCAAGCCATCTTATTTTAAAGGCAGCCTAGCTGAGCAACACCGCTTCCCTGCTCCGGGATGAAGGAACTAAATAATAAATGCTGCTTCCCCCCCCGCCCCACACCCCCCAAAGCTGCGGTTTTAGCCCCAGCTGCAGCTCTCTGCGCAGCAATGGGAAGCGGCCAATGTGGCCACTCTTGATCAAAGACTCGCTGGGGGATAAAAAGCAGGGAAGGAGCAGGTAAAGCTGTTGAGATCGGCCCTTTCCCCCTTGCAGCACTACGGAAATGAAAGCCACGACTGCTGGCTGGTGGCTTCCGAGGGCCGAGCTCGCCCTGGCTCTGCCACGGGAAGAGCAGGAAGCCATCGCAGCCCTTGAAATGTTATTTCGGCACACGGGCCCACGGCTGCAGCTGCATCCCGGGGGGCTGCTCCCCCGGCCGGGGCAATGCAGAGCAGTGGGAGCCTGCAGGGTCCAGGCTCTCCCCAGCAGCTCTGCAATGGGGAGAGGAAAGAGCTGCTGCAGAAGGGAAACAGGAAGGACCGAGCGTTAAAAATACCGCGTCCGCGGGCTGCGAGATAACCCTGCCGATGGACGGTGCCGTTCGGCAAGCGGGCAGAGCAACACGGGGGGGGTGTGCAGGGAGCTGCATTCTCACTGTGACCATTTTTAAGATTTTAGAGGTGTTCTGTTTGATGTGGGGGCCCAGCCAAGACCTTGCCGTGTCGTTTGGGGGGGAGAAAAAAAATAAGAAATCGAAAAAGAGCAGGTGAGACCAACTGATCCAGCACAGCCGCGGCTGCAACGGGCAAGCGGGGCCCAGTGCCAAAACAGGCAGAGCTGAGACCTGGCCTCGGTCTCCGGCAGATTGGGGGAGAGCCGAAATCCCTGCCCTGAACCAGGAGAGAGATACGGGTCTGTTCTTTTTGACATACACAGACATGCACACAAAAACCAGATGCACCAGCTCCAAGAGCGCCTCCCCAGTGGGACCCTACCCAAAGCTGCCCCATTCCCGCAAGGTCTGAGGCCCCACAAACCAGCATTTGGTGATGGGCGAGACAAGAAGGAAGAAAAAGGCAGAACGAAATAGTTTGCTCTGAGTTTTCTCATCCCCAGCCCGGATCTACACGGCTTGTGTTTCACACCGGGCAGATTCAGAGGCTCAGGCTCGAGCAGGGAAGGGGGGGTTGGTACGCAGCTCCAGCCTTGCTGTTCACTCCTGCTCTCCATCCAGCCCATCTCGTACTGCCCACCCGCGCTACGACCACACAGCGGTCCCACCTGGGCCCATCTCCGGTCCCTAAGATGTCTACCCCTTACAATCAACTCCACAAACTGATCTGAAAACATTTCCCCTGTCCCTGTTTTTCCCATCTAGAAGGTCTAATGGCCTAAAACTCGTTGTCCTGCTGTCTGAAGAAGACAGGGCACAGGTCTTCTCTCACTGATCACAGCACAACCAACCCAAGCAGCCGGATCTGCCCAAGCCGGTCCAGCTGGAGCATCTAACAATCCTAAATGCAAATGCAAAAGCCATTTCAAAGGGGAGGAAAAGCCCCCGGGAAACTCAACGCTTAAGAACTCGGTGGGGGTTTGTTTGTTTGTTTGTTTGTTTGAAATCAAAAGCTCTTTATCCTACCTGGTCCCATAACGCTGCGGCCACTTGGTCTATTACTGCGCCCAGTTCTCTGTACTCCCCAGAGTATCTGATATATGCCCAGGTACACAGTGTGATAAGTGTCAAGCCCATGATCATGTTGCACAGACTGGCTATGATGTCCAAGCCAATGAAGCCGGTCACTCCAGCTATCACGTAAGTGATGAAGATGACCACAAAGAGCGTGGCGGGGGTGCGGGCGGCGTGGAAGATGTTCTTGCTGTCGTTGTGCTTGATGTACTGGATGTAGAGCTCATCTATCTCGTTCTCCAGCTGCTGGAGGTAGCGACGGCTGAATTCCTCCCCACCCATCTTCTTCACCCCGCGAAACAGCTTCACAGCCTCCTCCTTCAACTCCATGTGTTTGGTCTGGAGGTCACTAGGTGCAAGGAAGGGCTTGTCCCCACCACAGACCTGCGTGGAAAACAGAGTCCAATCACTCCAGAAACCTCAGCACCCACAGCTCCTGCGCTCTGCCGTGCAAACCACTGGAATTAGGCCACTGCAAGCTCCTGTTTGGACCCCTAGATCCCACAGGAAGACCCTGCTGTCCATCTGAGACAGGTTAAAAGGGGGCAGGGGGTGTCTGCACTGGGAAGCTGCGTCCCGCAGCTCCCTTACTCAGTTCACTCACAGCCCAAGCCAGGGTCTCGGCCAACACTGATGGCTGAGCTACCCTGACTGGCAGGACCCTGAACTTTTCCAGAATTTTCCAGGCCTGGAAACTCTGCAGCGTTTTTCTTCTGCTTCAGAGTATGGACACATGAGTTTTAAGGCCCAGGGCGGTTTGGCTCTGCACCCCCTTCCTGCCAATGGGCAGTGATCTCCCATATTGATGAAGAGAGTGGGGGCCTGAAGGTGGCTGGAGCTTCACCCACCAACATCCCAACCATCCCCTCACCAGAGCTGAGAGATGGGCTGACAGGGCAGGGCATAGGCGAAAAGCCATCTGTCATGACTTTATCCCCTAATTAGCACCAGCCGTAGCACGGGCTGCATGGTCACGCAGCGCTGCCACCCCACTACATCACATTTTTGGGTTGCATCTACCCACGCTGGGGAATGCTGGAAAGAGGATGCAAAGCCAGCCGAGGCCATGTGGTCCGCAAAAAGCTGCCATCGGATGAAACAGTGACCACTTGCCAATCACCCTTCCTGTCATGCCGTGATCATAGAATCATAGAATCACAGAATCGTCTAGGGTGGAAAAGACCTTTAAGGTCATCAAGTCCAACCGTTAACCTACACTGCCTTCCCACCACTAAACCCTATCCCTAAGCACCTCATCTATCCTTCTTTTAAATGCCTCCAGGGATGGGGACTTGATGATACCCCGACTGGGCACTGCCCTCCTCCAGCCTGCAAGAAAGCCCCTTTTCCACCATGAACGTAGGAGAGACCTTCTTTGGGACCCCGAACGTGAAGCACCGTACCCACTCCTGGCCAAGTCCACGCAGGACATTTTGTACCAGGAACCCAGGCAGGGAGGTTTCCCCACGAGGACAGGAGAGCCGAGAGATGTGAGCGCTGTGCAAGAACCTGCTCAGCACCACCTACCTCTTCCATTCTCCTGCTGTAGGTGTCTTTGGCAGTGGCAACTGCTGCTAAATTGTTGGCTTCTGCCGTGGCCTGCAAGAAGGGCAAAAGGGGTACAATGTTTAGCTGCAGAAAGACAGGGCTAAGAAGTGTTAATTGTGGAGAGTGCCTGGGTATCCATGGTCCACATGTGTACGTGGCACAGTACCGGGGTGCACACATACAGAATTAAACAGCCCCCTTGTCTTAGCCAAGCGTAATCCCCCAGCCTCTGACCAATGCTAAATAAGATCATCCCATATTTACACATCCAGTCTCCTCAGTCCCCGCAGGCAAAAGCCTGCATGAGGAGAGGATTCCTACCCACCAAGTCAGAGCAAGGAAAACTTTGGCTTCGTCTGTGGGAAACAGCAAGAAAACAGATAAAAGGCTCAGCCATATGTAAACAGCTACAGCTGCGACCTCCTGCAAAGCCATCTGGCTCAGAGAGCAGAGCTGCAGCCCAGCAGCCGCTGCCCGTGCACGAGGCCGTGTCACCTCCGTGTGCAGCCCCACCACGGCCAAAGACGATGCAATTTACCTGTGGGGGAGTCATTTCAGCTAAGCTGGCTGACGCTGTGTGCACAGACAGCGCGTCACCGCAGGCCGGCCGAGGCGCACGAGCCGCCCTGCTGCAATTGCTAAGCCATATCAGACCCAATGACTGCCAAATACTTCCAGAAGGGCTGCTTCTTGGGTTGTTACGCTGAGGCATTTGAAATCAAATCACAGAAGATGCAATGTGCTGCACCAGCTGGACACCTCTGACAATTAACTGGAAACCAGTGGCAGTTACAGCGCATGAATGCCCACCAGCTCGCAGCTCCCACTCACGTACCTGCAGCATTGACTTTGGGTGTGGCAATTCTTCCCCTTGGTAGATCTTTATGTATGCCTGCAAAACAGCGCACAGAAAATGAAATCACATTGAATACGGCATTCACGAGCAACTTGCAAACACACACCCCCCCCCAGTTCCAGACACAGCTTTAACGGGAAGTGGAAAGCATGGAAGACGAGGACGTTCCTGGCACAAGATGGCTTCAGCGGGGGATGCTCTGTCAGAAAATGCTATGTAGCATGGCTCGAGGTCAACTCCTTGGGTGGCCTGGGTCAGTCACTCAAGGCTCTCGCTCCACCACTTACGCTAAGTGTCTCTACCATTGGACTTGCACCTACCTCCGTCCTTCAGTGGAGGAGAAGGAGCCGGAGTCAGGTAGTCCTGGAGCGTAGGTGGTGAGAATTACTCACCAATGTCTTGCATTAAAATATCCCCGTAGTCATGACAACAAAACCAAGCTTTTTCTGAAGGCAATGGGAATATGGCCCTCAGCCTATCTCCCCCTGGTCTTCAGTTCTCCAGGGGAGGAAAAGAGCCCTGCCCACTTCTTGGGCTTACTGCGTGGTCAAATATGCAACCGGGAGGTGTTTGGTTTCTGCAGCAATGAGGGTCAGGACTATTAGCTAGACCAAGAACATTTCCTCCAGCCATCAAGTGCTCGCCTGCCTGCTGCCCCTTACCCCTCCAATTACAGCAAAAGTGCAAGCGTGCCACAGATGAATTAGGCCACTTTCTCTTAAATAAGCCGATACCTTAAAATACTCCACAAGGCCTCGACAGGTGATATGGTTTCCATTGATCTCCTTAACATCCAGGCTCTCGGGATTAAGCAACCAAGGAATCAAAATCTTCAAGTTCTTGATGAACTCGTCGTCTATTTCTGGAAACAAAACGCAACGTCATCAGTGCCAGCCCAAGGTCAGACTTGTGCTTTGGTGTGCACTCACATGAAACAAGAGCAGGAGGGTCACGCCAGAGACCCAGACACCCTATAATTTAGTGATGTGAGCACTCAGAAATGATCGTGGCTCCACTTAAGTTGTTACTTAACCCACAGACAGAATATACAGCTGTGCATATATCCACAAACTGCTTCATGGTCTCAAAAATACTTGCGTGAACACAAATGGGACTGGATGGGAAAAAAAAAACCCTGCTTTTGCTGATGATGCTGGTAACAGGCACGCAACGCTGACAGCCAGAGCGTGGTGTCTCCTTGCCTAGATGCATACATTCCTTGCAAGCCATGACCTTTAGTGTACAGGGCAGGGACACACGCTGTGCCTTCCCTTTGCTCTGCTCCATGGCACCTGTAGTGGAAATCTTCTGCCAGGGCTTAGGCTCCCTGGCTGCCACCTCCTGTGCCAGCAGGCAAGACTTTCTGTGCCAAGTTCTTGGTCCTCTGTGAACCCGTATGTGAAATTCTCATCGCAAAGCATTTTAAAGCTTTTGCCAACCATTAGGCACTGGGTACAGGTACACGAAGGACTCTGGCGAGTGACTGCATTTACATTGCACCATCAGACGCCCCTCGGTGCAGGTACAATCTCTGCTCCTGCCAGCCCGTCCCCTCTGCCAAAGCACAGAGCTGGCACAGGGGGGGTCCATGGGCTTCTTGTGTCACCTCAACAGAGGCAGACTCATCTCTAACAGTCATTCTTATGGCTTCATGGTGTCTGACATCCATTTATGGCCATTTAAATTAAACTGTACAAGGCTGGAGACAGAACAAAGCAATGCAAGATCCAGGTATTTGGAAGGTAAGGGAGAGGGGGGAAGTTTCCCCACATTTCTTCTATCAGAGCACAAAAAGCTGAGTCCAGCTCTGAGGGAACACAAAAAATGGTGTCAAGAAGCTGCTGCCAGTTCGGCACACACCACTTGTTCAGCACGACTTGGCACCTGAAATTAGGGGGGGAACTAACAGAGATCAGCTCAGTTTCCACCAGCGCGGCTCCCCCCGCTGCCCTGCTTGCTGGCTAGCACGGAGTTTGCCAGAAGTAGTCTGATCACTAGCCAGACAAAACCAGAGAAAAAGTAACATCCTTCTGCCTGCTAATTTATTTTAAGTGACTTATGGGCCACTTTATTGCTAAGATTGCAAGCTGCCTGTAACCAGCGATGCTGGTAACCAGTTGGTTCACAACAAACAACTTAAAAAATCCACATCACGTGGCTCCTTTGAGGGTGGAGAATCCTACCATGGCTTTTTTTCCTTCCCTTTTTTTTTTTTTTAACCTGTTGAACTAAGTCTGACCTGTAGGGAAGCCACTGATCAGATAAGTCAGGAAGATTAAATACGCCTTGGAAAGCTTTTCAAAGCAGAAATAACGTTCCCTTGAGAGCACACGTAACCAGCCTTGCACCCTCCGCAAGCACCACCCTGCCTTCCAGCAACCAGTCTGCACCGCTCTGCACCTGTGCCGAGTCACAAGTGAGGCTTAATTGGTTAATCACAGGCTTAAGCCGTGCCCACGAACCTCCTGCCTCAGTCCTGCCCTTCCCCGGTTGACTGTCAGCCATCTGTCCTGATGGCACATATTGCCAGTGGCTCCCAGGCCTTTTCATAGCATCACAGAATCGTTTGGGTTGGAAAAGCCCTTTAAGCTCACCAAGCCCAACCGTTCCCCTAATGCTGCCATCCCACCCCCAAAC